ATGTTCTGGAAAACCAGCGTTGTTAAGAGGTAAATTTCCTGAAAAACCGGCGTTATCAAGAGATAAATTATCTGAAACACCAGCGTTATCAAGAAGTAAATTATCTGGAAAACCAGCGTTGTCAAGAAATAAATTCTCTGAAAAACCAGCGTTGTCAAGAAATAAATTCTCTGAAAAAACCAGCGTTGTTAAGAGGTATATGTTCTGGAACATTGTCAAGAGGTAAATTTTCTGGAAAACTAGTACGAATAGGATTTGATTTCAAAAAAGTCCTAACACTATCATTATTATTGTATTTTGTGGCCTTTGAAATTTCTTCATATTGTGAATGGGGATCATCTAAAGCCCGTTTTTTTGGCTAACCATGGATATTATTTATTAAATAAATAGGAACGTTACTTGCTAAACATATTTTCTATAATCATCACTGCAGCCTTAATAATAAATAATTCTTACCGTTACTTCTGGTGAATATTCCTCGTTACTCAAAATTTCCAGATCTGGGATGTAACTTTCAGATTCATGTCTTTCAACTTCATGTTGTATGCCCAAACACATATCCACATCTTTCGCATCTTCCATATACATATCTTGAGGTCCCACTTCTACAAAACTTTCCTGAGATGACGTCCTTACAAAAGTTCCTCCGATATTCGGATTGGGCAGTTCGCTAATTGCAAGTCCTATTTTAAGAAGTGATTAATGTTTAACTATGAATTCCATTTAGAATTAAATAATTTGCTACACTTTCTTACCAGTTACTTGAAGATAAGAACTATTTGAAAGAAAAATAAATATCGATGTATTCTTCAATAAGTAAGTCATTGCTTTTTCACCAAGCCTACATAATACACACTATTTAACCTTGTATATTTTATGAGTGTCTCTAATTTACATTACAATTGTAAACTATTTACCTTGAATAAAGCTTTGTCATTGCTGGTAAACATCTAATATAATCAGTGCATGAATTTTCATGAAACACCGTAGATCCGTACTTATCATCGTTTGGTAGCTAAGCAAAGTTTGCATTCAATATAGCCAAATTAAACATTTAAATTCTTTCATATACAAAATATATTTAAAAATTTTGGATTCACCTTCTTAAAGCCTAGTGATAAAACATTGGGTGGCTTTTTTGGGCTCCAGTTTGGATCATTAACAAGATCTGTAATAACAGCATTAACCACCTGCCGACGAAATTTTAGATTAATTTTTAACGCAGTTACGTAAATCTATAAATTTAGTAAATAACGCATACGTTTCCGAATTCGTTTTTCGAAGCCTTTCCCAGTGAGGTTTGCGGAAAGGACTGTTCATTGTCATTTATGAGGGAGGTTTTTAGGAAATGTATATAGTCTTCCTTATCACCTTTATGAATCAATTTAAGTTTCTTGCCGCATTGAGCGGTAAGAAAGTCATATAAAATGGTGATATTTGGATAGTAAGTACACAAAACACTGTTTTTGCATTTACTCGAATACATCTAAAGATTATCGACAAAAATTAATGTCAGAAGTAAACTTCGCTAATACAAAATTTTTGGTCGCGTTTTGACTAGCCAATCAGATCAATTAACGCGCATGATTGATGATTGGCTAATTAGCGCGTTTATAAAAATAGATGATCCGTAGAAAAATACACATTTCTTCGATAGTTTCACCTAGCTCTGATAATGAATAAATGCTTCATTTCATCTTTCTTAATTCCAATTTCATGTTTATAAAAGAACCAAGCCAGAATATTTGACTGGATCATTCATAACGGCGGATTTTTGGTAATCAATGAACACCTCTTCTTAGCAGAATTTTTGTCATAACAAATAACAAAGCCAAAATATTACAGACAAACTATTCATACCTGTCAGCTTTCGATAATAAATGGATGATTTATTTTCATCTTAACTCAAATTCCGTTCTCATAACAATAGAAAGCCAGAATGTTTTGACTGGATGATTCATACTGCAGACTGTTGATAATGAACGAATGTGTTATTTTATCCCTTTTAACTCTTATTCTATGTTCATAATAATAATCAAACCAGAATATTTTCGTCTAGATCATTCATATTCACACATTTTGATTAAAAATACTTCCTAACTCCAATTTCATATTCACAGGACAGAATATTTCGTCCGAATCATTCATGTCAGGTAATATTATAAGTTTAGACCCTGAGTTTTTTAACTAGTACAGTACATTATTTGTAAACCCGCTATAAGGGTATTCGTTATAACCACGGTTAAGTAATCAAAAAAAAAAAATCTAAGTTTAGATTTTAAATAAAAAATTGCTGAATTAAAAACATTACTGATTTACCTATTTTTTAGCACAGAACTTTGAGTAAAACGCCCTATCGGAAAAGAGAATAAATTATTAAAAAATGAAATCGAGTCAGCATTTATACGTATTGAACTTTAAATATTAAATCCATGATTTTTATTGGTTTATCATCATGGGATATTGCTTCAACATTTTTTCGATAACGATAAATTCCGATGATCTACATCGATTTGCATCGATTTATATTATCCGATCTAACTAGTTTTTTACATCGTTTTGTCTATAACATAAAATTTTATTAAGATATCAACACTTCTTCCTTAAGTAAAAAATATTTCTAAGCCAATTTTGAATTAGTTAAGCTTTAAAAATTTTTTTTATAAAATTGTCATTTTCCGCCCTTTTCTTAGCACCTAGCCCATATTTTTATAAAATTTAATTTGATTGATGGCCAATTCTGATTGGTTAAAAGGTGTTCATCTAGTCAGGTGGTTAGTATAAAACACAAAGAATTTAACATTTTTATATCATTCTTAATGCATCTGCTTATCTAGTTAAATAATTAGTGCCAAATACTAAAAAACCAGAAAGAACAGCCTTTGTCGTTAAGGGTTAGGGTTAAAATTTAGGTGCAAACGTTTTAAGAACTCAAGGGTTAAAGTTCATTATCAGAGCTAGGTGAAACTATCGAAGAAATGTGT